CAATAAGCAATCCTGAAAAATATTTGGGGGTGCTTAACTTTTTTCCAGGTGTATATATGTGTGTGTATACTTTCATAGTCCTTTTCCAAAAGTTCCATGGTTAGACAGTGGTAAGTTTATGGACTTTGACACTAAAATTCGGGGTTGGATACCTCTGTGGCTTTGCTCTAAAACAAACAAACTTTTTGAAAATATATGTCAGTAATTTATTACTGTAATTTAGTTAATATATATATTTATTACTGTAATTTAGTTAATATATATTTATTAATGTAATTTAGTTAATATATATTTATTATTGTAATTTAGTTAATATGTATTTATTAATGTAATTTAGTTAATATATATATTTATTACTGTAATTTAGTTAATATATATTTATTAATGTAATTTAGTTAATATATATTTATTATTGTAATTTAGTTAATATGTATTTATTAATGTAATTTAGTTAATATGTATTTATTAATGTAATTTAGTTAATATGTATTTATTAGTGTAATTTAGTTAATATATATTCATTAATGTAATTTAGTTAATATGTATTTATTACTGTAATTTAGTTAATATGTATTTATTAGTGTAATTTAGTTAATATATATTTATTAGTGTAATTTAGTTAATATGTATTTATTACTGTAATTTAGTTAATATGTATTTATTACTGTAATTTAGTTAATATATGTTTATTAGTGTAATTTAGTTAATATGGATTTATTAGTGTAGTTTAGTTAATATATATTTCAGCTTCATTCTTTACTTTGGTAATGTGCTGTCATCAGAGTTGGGTAGGATGTTTGGGAGATCGCACAAACAAGATCCAAATAATTCATCACTTTAATGTTTTTATGTTGGTAATTTCAAAAAATATATAGATTACAACTTCATTTTAAACTTTTTTATATAATTGTTTTATAGCTTGTATTTAAATATCTATTTCTAGAATCACCAAATGTCCAGATTTTCATATTTACAAGTATATTACTTCATTCTTCATGTGATAATAAAAATGATTTATGTTTTTGTAATTCTGTTCTCTAGCTAGTAGAGTGGCTGTGAAGGCCATGGTTTTTTATATATTCATATTTATATTACTTCATTCTTCATGTAATAATAAAAATGATTTATGTTTTTGTAATTCTGTTCTCTAGCTTGTAGAGTGGCTGTGAAGGCTATGGTTTTTTTATATAATTTCTTTATTTGAAATTTCAGAGAAGTACGAGTTACCAGCATTCACCTATCCCTGGAAACCCAACACCTCCTTTAACCCCAGCATCTAGTATGCCTCCATACATATCAGGAAATCCAGGGGATGTAAAACCCTCTTATCCAGACATAAAGCCACCTATACCTCAAACAAGTAAGTTAAAATACCTACTCCTGTACAGTAAATATTCTTAAAATATTAAATAAAATTGTAGCCTCAGACATAAAATAATTATTAATATTATAATTCATCTTTAGAAAAGAACTTGGGCAAAGCATTTAAAGAGATTAAATGTTCCTGTTTATAAATAATAGAGCTAATTGTTGAAGGTAGAAATGAGGGAAAAGTCTGTATGCTTCTTAGTTCAAGCTTTGCTTTGAATTCACAGTACGTTTATGCATTCAGTGTCAAGTGTTTGTTTCTTTCTAACAGCCTAGAAATGTAATTGTTTTATGGACAAAGATCACATGAGACATTGTAGCTTATTCAAAATTTTCATGTGGCAGCATAGAACTGATTCTTAGTTTTGAAGTTGCTACCTGAAGCTTATTCGTATTTTTCATGTGGCTACATGGAGCTTATTCTTAGTTTTTATGTGGCTACATGGAGCTTATTTATAGTTTTCATGTGGCTACATGGAGCTTTTTCTTAGTTTTCAAGTGGCTTCATAGAGCTTATTCTTAGTTTTCATGTGGCTACCTGGAGCTTATTCATAGTTTTTATGTGGCTACATGGAGCTTATTTGTAGTTTTCAAGTAACTACCTAGAGCTTATTTGTAGTTTTCAAGTGTCTACATAGAGCTTATTCTTAGTTTTCAAGTGTCTACATGGAGCTTATTCTTAGTTTCCAAATGGTTACCTGGAGCTTATTCTTGGTTTTTATGTGGCTACATGGAGCTTATTTGTAGTTTTCAAGTAACTACCTAGAGCTTATTTGTAGTTTTCAAGTGTCTACATGGAGCTTATTTGTAATTTTCAAGTGTCTACCTGGAGCTTATTCTTAGTTTTCAACTGGTTACCTGAAGCTTATTCATAGTTTTCATGTAGCTACCTGGAGCTTACTTATAGTTTTCAAAAGGCTACCTGGAGCTTGCTTATAGGTTGTAAGTTTATTTTGACCACATGAGATAGTGTTTTATCTGAGATCTAATATCTAAGTTTACCCCTAGATTTCCAAACTTTGTGTTACTTACAACAAAAAGTCAAAGTTCTGGTTTGGATTTTTGTCATTGCAGAAGACGACGAATTGAGGTTAACATTTCCTGTCAGGGATGGAATCATCCTGCCCCCCTTCAGGCTGGAACACAACCTAGCTGTGAGTAACCATTTCTTCCAACTGAAACCATCAGTCTACCAAACCCTGATGTGGAGGTCTGACCTGGAGCTGCAGTTAAAGTGTTTTCATCATGAAGACAGACAAATGAACACCAACTGGCCAGCATCGGTTCAAGTGTCCGTGAATGCGACTCCAGTACCTATCGATAGAGGAGAGAACAAGACTTCACATAAACCTTTATACCTCAAAGAAGTATGTCAGCCAGGTCGCAACACGATACAGATTACTGTGACAGCCTGTTGTTGTGTAAGTAGTAATGTAGTTGAGAATTTTTACCTCTTATCAAAAACACATTTAACATTTTATAAAGATAGAGTGAACTGAAGTTGTTTTTACAGATAAAAAAAATGTTTCAATTTTTTGGGGAATTTGCACTTTTTTTTAAATAATTTATTGTTTACTTTCTTTCAGTCTCACCTGTTTTTGTTACACCTCGTCCATCGACCTACAGTTCGGTCAGTTCTTCAAGGACTTTTACGAAACAGGCTTCTTCCTGCAGAACATTGCATTTCCAAAATTAAAAGAAACTTTAACAGTATAGCAGCAACAAATAATGCAATGAACTGTGAAGATGGTGTAGAGCAGACAGCAATGAAAGTGTCCCTAAAGTGTCCTATTACCTTCAAGAGGGTTTCATTGCCTGCTAGAGGTCAAGACTGTAAACACATACAGGTAAGAAAAGACTCTAAAACACTCTTCATCCCTAATATGTCCTATTACCTTCAAGAGGGTTGTGTTGCCTGATAGAGGTCAAGACTTTAAACACATACAGGTAAGAAAAGACTCTAAAACACTCTTCATCCCTAATATGTCCTATTACCTTCAAGAGGGTTTCATTGCCTGATAGAGGTCAAGACTCTAAACACATACAGGTAAGAAAAGACTCTAAAACACTCTTCATACCTAAAGTGTCCTATTACCTTCCAAGAGGGTTTCATTGCGTGATAGAGGTCAAGACTCTAAACACATACAGGTAAGAAAAGACTCTAAAACACTCTTCATACCTAAAGTGTCCTATTACCTTCCAAGAGGGTTGTGTTGCCTGATAGAGGTCAAGACTCTAAACACATACAGGTAAGAAAAGACTCTAAAACACTCTTCATCCCTAATATGTCCTAATATATACCAAATGTGTATATATATATATATAATGCTTTATTTCTTAATTAAAGAGATATTACTGTGAGCTACACATTGAGACACAATTGAATTTTGACTGTACAATTATTTTTCTGCAAGACGTTATGGCTCTGAAAGATACAATAATCGTTTTTCTAAAACATGCATCACATGAAAGGTGAGTGTGAAGAATCAAGTTGAAAGTATACAAATGTGAAAGTCTACTTTAGTGTGTAAGAAACACGAGATTAAGTTTTATTTCAATAATGGAAGCTCTTTTGCAACATAAAAAGTTCATTTTCAGCCAACATCTATAAATGTATTAATCACTGGATTAATACAGCTTTCTATAAAGCTTCTAACTTTATTAGTTTATAGATATGTGTGTGTTTATTAAGTGATATAATCAGCATGCCAGAGACTGAAAAGTAGGATCAGTACGGTGTTGTTGTTGTTTTGAAAGCTTTTATATTGTGTTTTATTAATTGTGTTCACATTGTTTAATAGATTTATTTGTGTCGTTTTAATATTGCCTTTTGTATGATATGTATTTAATATTCTAGTGTTTCGATCTGGAATCCTACCTCCAAATGAACTGTGAAAAAGGAGCTTGGAGATGTCCAATTTGCAAGTGAGAAAATATATAGTTTAATTGACAAAGTATTTTTAAGAATATTTTTGGCCACTTCAGATGTTTTTGTTCAACTAAAATACATTCATATCGAGGAAAGAATACAAACAATCACTTTTCTTATTCTTTTACTCCAACACATATTATGATTATAAAATTAAATTTTAAACTGATTTTCCATCTTTGAACCATGTATACATTTCTCTCTTCTGATTTGATGGAATGGAAAGGCCATTGATGGGAAATATAAAATAAATACCCTACATATAATTTTGTTATTACAACCCAGAAATTCTGAAATAATTATTATTACTTGGAAGAAGAAATATCTGTATGATGAAAAGCTTAAAATCATGATTACCATAAATATAGTTTGACCCCCGCATATAGTGCACAGTAAATATTTTGACCTCACATACTATAAAAAATCAATATGCCCATATATAGTGTGCAAAGGAATTCGACCAGCTGATAGACCTTTGTGTAGTGAGTGTTGTATTGTTGTGCTGATTAGTGATTGCTAATTAATTAACCATATTATTTAATGAACAAACAAAGACTGAACTTGTGTAATTTATGTATGCATGTTTTTAGATAATGTTCTGTACATAAATCTTAGGAGAGTGATTACGATTGGATGTTCACTGTGAATGTATTGTAGCGTAGGATATTAAAATCATCTTACAGCTCAGCTTAAAAAACTTCTCAAAATCAAAGAAGTTTTGCTCGATTATATATTTTTAAAATCATTATTAATAAATAACAGCATATAAACTATGCAGTTCTGGTTTTCCGAGAGCAACAAATGATGATTATGTCAAAATATAATATGTGTTGAGATTATCTGAAAACTATTGGAAAAATACCGTTCCCTCATTTAGTGCACCCTTTGTATTTGAGCTCAAAAACGTTTGAAAACAAAGTGTGATAATAAATACAATGCATTTTGAACTTATACTAACTACAACTATTATTTTTGTTATTAGAAATATAATTGTTTCCCTCTTTTTAACAAGTTTCTAAAAAAAAAACATTACAGTAAAACAGCTTACCTGGAAGGCCTAGAAGTTGACCAGTATGTTTGGGCCATCTTGACGAACCTCAGTAATTCCGAGGTGGATGAGGTGACAATGAGTGCTAATGCTTGTTGGAAGCCTATTTCTCCCAAACTAGAGCATGAACAAGGTAGAACTTTATAAAGTAAAAATATAGCCTTATAGAGAAACAAAGTTGGAGGTTAATTAGTTGTAAAATGTGATAATATTTTCTTATTGTATTTTGTGTCTCAAAATCGTAAATTATAGAAAGAAAGATACTGATTTATTATTAAATTTAGTCAGAGGTATTTTTATTAATAACTTTAAACAATTTATGTTTTAGGAATGATAAAGATTATAGGCATTTGAAATTTTTTTAAATTCCATTTCTGATGTTACTGTTTGTTAATATTTATGTCATACTCAACTTTAAAATATTTGTAATATTTAAGGAAGGAAACGAACATCTAGAGTTTTCTTTTGTCTTAGACATATTTTCAGTAGATATAACGAGAAAATTAGATCTCAAAATTTAAATATTTTATTAGGCTCCTTGTTTTCTTTTTTGCTTTACTTTGTAATTTGTTGTATGAAACAAAATTAAAGGTTAATAAGTATGTTCATTGTGTGACTGTATTATGCTTCCTTTGTGTTTAAAGTTATTTAACTAAAGGTTAATAAGTATGTTCATTGTGTGACTGTATTATGCTTCCTTTGTGTTTAAAGGTTAATAAGTATGTTCATTGTGTGACTGTATTGTGCTTCCTTTGTGTTTAAAGGTTAATAAGTATGTTCATTGTGTGACTGTATTATGCTTCCTTTGTGTTTAAAGTTATTTAACTAAAGGTTAATAAGTATGTTCATTGTGTGACTGTATTATGCTTCCTTTGTGTTTAAAGGTTAATAAGTATGTTCATTGTGTGACTGTATTGTGCTTCCTTTGTGTTTAAAGTTATTTCACTAAAGGTTAATAAGTATGTTCATTGTGTGACTGTATTATGCTTCCTTTGTGTTTAAAGTTATTTCACTAAAGGTTAATAAGTATGTTCATTGTGTGACTGTATTATGCTTCCTTTGTGTTTAAAGTTATTTCACTAAAGGTTAATAAGTATGTTCATTGTGCGACT